CTATATCCCGCCATTCATGGGAAATGCCATCAAAAATATAGTATGATTCATGGTTATAACCCACTATTTCCATGTGTTTCCCATTTATATCCGAGGTTCTTGCCTTTACCACTTCAATGCCATCGTTGCCTACAGAACTTCCCCTGGTTCAAAAAGGTGAACTCAGCATCGCTGTGAAGAAAGCATGATGTAGCTATGGAAAATCACCACTTTTAATAGGCAAATGAATATTGGATATATGTATATATGTAGGGGAGAAGCTTGAGGTTTCCCGGAACATCGAGGAACCTTGAGTCTTTCTCTCATATACAGGTGGGGGGTTCGGGGGAGGATATGGAAAAGATAGAGCAGTAAAGCCTATCATTAAGTCTCACACACATGGCTTTGCATCGCACACATACTTTGGACTTTTCCGGGGCTGCAAAATATTGTGAAATCACGTGAAATGATTTCTGCCAGCAAAAAATTGGGCACCGGCAAAGCCAATTCTTGGTGTTCTCTGATTTTTGAGCAATGCCAATCTCCACCCTTCCCCGAATGTTCGCCTGATCCATCGAACCATTCTTTGTGGCGACCCCCTTCTCGGGATTTCGGATCTTTTGCTTCCAATCCGTAGGTTTTCCTTGGCGCGGGTCCCGTGGCTTGCCGGTGCCAAAAATTGGCGAAGAGATACATCGAGGTACCAACTGTTGTGTTTTATGGTGTCCATGGTGTCCATGGTTTTATATACAAGTCTGACTAACTCACTTTGATCTGCATATCCATCGACCAACCAACAAGGGATTCAACCCTGAAAAAAATTGTTTGTATTACCATTTGCAGTGGATGATTTAATCCACTAACCTCCTTTCCCCCTGTTCGAGTATCTGATGTTTAAACTTCAAACTCTCCTGTCCGCACCTCCCAATTTGAGATGACGAGCCAAAATTGTAGCCCTTCATGTTCCCTTTAGTAAAACCCTGCAATGTTCTATCAGAAATGTATCCCCAGTTCCCCCGGTCACCCCTGTTCCTTCCCAGCGTCCAATGCACGCGCGTCGTCGGATGACCCAGACGGCCATCACCAGATCCACCGTCGCCAAGACGTCCCAAGAGTGTCGGTGCACCAAAATGGCGATATAGGGCGCCACCATGCCACCAACACCGTAGCACAGATCCTGCAGCCATGGCAGCCGGGTTCCGTCCTGAGGTTCTGTGGAATGCTGGGATTTACACAACAACTGGTGTTTCTTTTATAGAGAAAACATATGAGAAAATCATGATTAACTGATCAACCAGTAGATTTGTGATGACAAACCCATGTATGGATCCATGTGATCCATCCATCCACCTGCTTCTTCATCCTGCCGTTTTGATGATCCAACTCAGAAGGGGATTTCTATAGATTTCTGAACTGAGTAGTTGGGGTAGGTATATACCACAACATCCCAGTTACAATACAATGAACTTTCACTTTGAGAGTATATGACCCATAGAAGAGGAAGAAAACATCGAGAAAGGTCCATTGACTGTAGAAATCCCACAGGATTGTCCCAATTTGTTCTTACGGGAGAAGAAATGAGAACATATATAGACTTCCAATCGATATCAGTGATTCAAACCATCTGCCAACAATATCCCTCAAGCAAATACACGGCAACTGAGCGTCATATTTGGCCAGTTCTGCTCCACTGCGGGCTTTCAACAAACGGCCCACCAGCATGATGTTGAAGGTATCCAGGACGGCCATTGCTGCCCCTATGCCAAAAAAACAAAGGCACAGAGCCCAGGCTTGGCTCAATCCTCAGCTGACACACTGGCAAACCATTCCGGAGCTGGTTTGTTGTGCCTTGTTGGGATGATTCTCGTTTTTTTTCTTGAAGGTGCAAACACTCAATATATGTTCAAGTATTTTGTAAGGTTCAATCCCAGCTCTCTGGGTTAAAACCTTTGATACCATATTTATAAAGATTTGAAGGGTGATGAACATACAATTTCCAAAAATCCCAACTCGCTATGGCTTGGTCTTCACCTGAGCATCGTGGCACCAGCAACACGCAGAGCGCTTTGAAGGCCAAGACCGATCCAAAGCCGTACTGCGATTCACCGCTCCAAATCCTGGATCAAGGGGGGATTGAAATCAAACCATGATGAAATATCATATATCAAATTGACATGTGCTGAAACCAGTATCCAAATTACTATATACATTATATTTTTCATATAATCATTATATTATGATGTATATATATATATTTACTGTACTGTATATATATATATATACATATATATATATATATATATATACACATAAATTTATATAAATTCACATGTGGATGCTTGTGTCAACCAACGGTTGGTACTTTGGGGTCAGGTGATTTGGCATAGATCTCCTGGTGAAGTTGAATCTTTCATGCTCTTTCTATTTCGGATTATATGGGTGTATGCCCAGGCTTCTGAAGCACCAACTCACCAACCCAAACCAACACTTGGTAATAGTTCATACATGTTCATATTCCGAACTGGTTGGTGGCGACAATCTGCATCTTGCTGGTGAATTTGCCTTCTACTTCCATCATCCATCAGAAAATTCCCGGCCCGTTCGCCAAGCTTCAGCTTTCCCAGCAGCTTCGACATCAGCAGGGGGCCACAGATCATCCCAACACCCCGAGAGAAGGCCATCAGACCTTGCGCCACACCCGTCTGCTCAGCCACATAGAGGGTGGCTGTGCCCGCGATGCCAACCTAGGACCCGGCGACCCAAACTTGCAGACGTTAGGGCCCTTGTTTTCTTTTCGCAAAAAATTGGTAAATGGTAGGTTCTTAGATGTTCTTATAGAAACATTAGGTTTTTTGACATGTACGAAAAACACTAACAACACTTGGGATTTGATGAACAGGAAAACAAGGGATTTAGAGAATCGTTGATGTAGCTGAATGATTCCTTGATCATGCCTTGAGTTGTTGCTTTCCCATAGGTTTCCATGACAATATGGTGGGTGAAATCCGTGAATCCACCACTTTTGAATAAATTGCCATATTTGTTGACCATGCCATCCATGTCTTGGCTTCCCGGCAGCTGCAATTTCTGCGGTAAACAGAAATGTTCTGGGAGATGGTCTCTGGCTTCAATGAGCAAAAAAAAAATCCACCCAAAAATATGTGGTACGTGGTGCATTCAACATTCACCATCATTCAACCGTATTTCAGCGCGTCTTTCAGCACTCGTACGCCACACCATGGGATTTCACAAACCGTTTCTCCAAGAAGCTGTGACTCCTCTCACAAAATTCCATAGGAAGAAGGCCTGCAAAACTCCAGAGCCACTCCCCATGGCAGCAGACACCAGGAGGCCGCGGGGGCAGCCAGGAGGCCCTTGGATCCGCAAAAAATGCTTGCTTCATGAGGGTTTTCTTGATCATCCTGCCAGTGATCTTGTTGTTCTTTGAACATATACAAAGCGTGAAATTGTAGTATGCTGCAACTGTATAAATATATATATATATTACAGTAGAAGAACCTCCCAGATATGTAGATAGAAAAGTCGTAAACCTGAGAAAAAATATGTACATTAAGTACATATAATCGAACTAAATCCTGGAAACACACTTTTCGGCATCTCTTTAAAGGTTCCATCCGAATAGGTCCAGTACCGACGGGCTACGTGACTAGAGCCGGCGGCGCGAGTTCAGTTTCTTTTCGGAGGCTCTGACCAAAAACCTGGGAACTGGTACCAAATGAGGTCTAAACATGGGGGACTTATATGAATATAGAAATGATATAGATATAGATCCTCCAAGTAACATTCAGCAAACAATTCCAATGGGGAAATATATGATTAACATTGATTAACCATAACGTAAAGGGATGCATGCATATATATATATATATAAATACATAATTATGTTCATGTATATATCATATATGTATAATTACGTTGCCCCATTTTCAGACAAACCCATTGATATGTATCATGTCAAATGTCGCTGCCTGTGTCTAGTTTGTAGAATTTGGAATGCTACATCGCACGGTACAAAGTTGCACAGCGTGTCGCTGCCAATGAGAGAATCGTTGATCGGATCCGGCGTTGATATGCGTTGATCATATAATATGATGGGCCTTTCCTGCAATTCGTGGATATCAGGCAATGAGCTCTAGTTGTAATCAAAAAAACACATGGCAACTGTGGCATTCCAACTTCAGATCATGACCTCATTCGATTGTAGAGTTTAATGGTCTGCCGCGATAGATGAGAGCCTCGAATTCTGCTTTGATCCAGGCTACACCTTCAAATCATTCAACTGTTCACCACTTTCCCCACATTCGACAGTAAACTTTTAGGATGACAAACTATCGAATTTATGGTGCATCATGGTGCATCACAGCACATGGGCCAATTTTTCAGCCAAATACCTCAGCTCATATCGATATCAACATAGCTTAGATGTTCTTCTTTATTGTTTTCAAGCATCCTTTCGGAGGATCTACCAGGGTTGCTCCAATTGTCCCCCCTGTAGCTAGGGCCTTGCGAGCAACCAGGTCATGTCTAATGCACAACCAGGTCACGTGTTGTAGGATTTCATATGTTTCTTACAATTACAGTAGTTCATTTTTTTCGTTTGCAGTTTACCCTCTGGTAATCAAACATGGCAATGGACAATTCACCATTCATAGATGATTTTCCCATTAAAATCAAAACCTACATTTATCGGTCGGAGATGTTCAATTGCCATGTTTGAATTTCCGAAGAGTACACCAGCTTCGAATGATCAAACATCACAAACCATCTGTGGCCTTGGCCAAAAAAAACATGAGGATTCTACCCTAATCTGGGTGCTTTGTCTACATGAGGAACACCCAAATTCATAGCCACTAAAATACGGGGTACATCATGTTCTGAAACACATATTGTCAGATAAACATGGGATTTCAATTAAACAGAAAACAGTACTGGATCTCAAGATAAACCCGTGTTGGTTGTTTCCAATTCGAACCAAATAGTTCAACGCATCCATTCTCGTCCTGCAATTGCTTCCGTTTCGACCTGTCGCACGGGAAGAAGTGATGTTCAACGTCCGGGTCAATAAGTTTGAGCCACAGCCATCTGGGTCCAGGTCAAAATTCATGGCGCAACAAACAACAGCCATTGGATCTGCTTTTGGGTCAAAGCCACCAGTAAATTGCCATGGGGTGGTAGTCAAAACGCCATCTTTGGTGGTTTTACTTCAGGACCTGGATCATCCCGCAGAATAGATTCCAAACCCTCTGCCCACTCAATCCCGTCATCAACCGGCATATTATCATATATATATACATATATATGTATATATTTAAAGAGAATGGGAAATGAGGCGCATGTAATCATGAACACAGTGAGACCCCTTGTGATAGCTAAGTTGGCTTATAACTCCAATAACTAGTGTTTATATCTGTTTATATGGGTTTATCATACATGGATCTATAGTCCATGGAGATAATACACGCACTGAAAACTGGGGGGCCTCACCCTCTAATATGGTACCAATTATCATAAACTGCGTTCTCTTACATTGAAACATGGTACTATGTAACCAGTTCCTGACATTGATATTGAGCCATTTTTTTCTGCTAACATGTGTGGACATACTGTATGTGTATTATTATGCACAAACCCTTACATACATATGCCTATGAACATCAATATACAGATCTCTATCTATGCTTATGTGATGTAATGTAATGGCATGGTGCGTGTGTCACGGCCGTTACAGTCCAGCGCTGACGTACATATATATATAATATGGTATATGATTAAATGATGATATATGTATATTCATGTTTATATATATATATATACAAATTTCTTAACTGTATATGTATGCATGCATGCATCCATGCATGCATCCATGTATGTATCTATCCAATCTAATCTTATCTAATCCAATCTAATACTATCTTATCTATCTATCTAATTCTATCTCCGTCTATCTCGTTCTATCTTGCTCTATATCGTTCTATCTCATTCTATCCCGTTCTATTTCATATTTAATTCTATCTAATCTTGTCTACTGTAATTCTATCTCATTCTATATTATTCTATCCCATTCTATCTCAATCTATCTCATTCTATCTAATGCTAGCTAAATCTACCTATATCTATATCTATTTATCTGTATCTATCTATCCATATCTCTATCTCTATCGATCAATCTATCTATCTATCTATCTGTCTGTCTGTTTGTCTGTCTGTCTGTCTGCCTGTCTGTCTATCTTTCCATCTACTAGTATCTGTCATTTTCTATCTACCTATCTGCCTATCTATCTATATGTATACCGTTGTCATCCGTTGGCTACATATTCTCCAATCCGATTGGGAACCCATTCTTGGATCCGGACCATGTCGCCAGATGCGCCTGGTCCAAGTTGTAACCGGTTCGGGCGAAGCCGGCAGTGGAAATTGTGACATTAAATTTTATGTTCCAGCAAAACTAACATTGATTTGGGGAGATAAATATATGTTAGAACTAGTTGCAGTATGTGGATAGATATGAAACAACTAACAACCAACATCCCTGTATATCATTTCTGGAAAAATGATATGGAGATTTAATTACCCTCAAAGCCTCAAATGGTAATTTGAAAATGGGGAGGCACCATTCAAAATGGTGATTTGACCAGCAAAATTCATGATTCAATGGGATGCTACTCGGGATATCATAGTTCGATATACTGTCCAGTGACATACAGTCATTTTGTAAGTTAAATATAGCACTATCAGATTGTTGGTATACATATAAAATTGACCAGCAATCTGATAGGTGCTCTTTTTGAAAATTGATAGCATGGTGTATACGGTATACCCCACAAATGGCAATTTTTGACAAAGTGAAGGGTTCACCATTGGATTGGGTACCCGTATTTTTAGACACACTCACGTGGGAAAACTGCGGTTTCCCAAGGAAAATGGTCCAGATAATGATCATATTGACCATGCAATTGACTCGACAATATACATATATATATATAGATTATGAGATCAACCACGTTGACTTCTGATATATATATATATATATTTAAAATTATTATTATTATTTTCATTATCATTATTGCTATTTGATTGTTCATTTATTTATTATTATTGTTGTTTATATTTTTCCTATTATATATATATATGTAATTGCTGAAGGGCATAGACAATGTTCACATTGACCAGGGAGTGAGCTCCAGACCTGAAGGCCATTTGCCTCACCACCTTGCTGAACAATGATGTCTAGCTAAATCTAGTTTTTTGCAGGAAACCCATTTGGCTGCTACCCCACATTTCTGTATTCATTGAAACCCACCTTTTGGCTACTGAAATTCATGCGTGAAATCCCCGAAATTCACCGTGTTTTTTGGCGTGATCATCCCCCCAGTCCGCTCGCAGTCCTCGGATCCTCGGATACCCTCGGTGCCTCGGAGCGTGCGCGCCCTTCGGAGGCTCTGCCTCTTTTGCACCCTCCTGTGCAAAGGAAAGGGCCGAGTAGGAGATACAAGGGTACATCTATGTATGTATCTAATATAATGTGCAAGTATGTGTATATATATATATATATGTATATTCGATTAGATTAAATTAGAGTGAATTATGTTATATTAAATTAAATTATATAATATTATACCATATTATTATATATTGTTATATATTATTATACATTATTATACATTATTATATATTATTATATATTATTATATATTATTATATATTATTATATATTATTAAATATTATTATTAATTATTATATCTTATTATATCTTATTATATCTTATTATATATTATTATATATTATTATATATTATTAAATATTATTATATATTATTATTAATTATTATATATTATTATATATTATTATTAATTATTATATATTATGAAATATTATATTATATTATATTATATTACATTATACATTATATTATATATTATATGATATTATATTATATGATATTATATGATATTATATGATATTATATTATATTATATACTGTATTATATTATATATTATATAATATTAAAATATATTTCATTATATTATATTGTATTATATTATATTATTTAAAATATATCATATTGTGATATATTTAAAATAATATTAAATTATGGAACATAATATGATATGATATCATTTCAAATAATATAAATATATATATATATACACATTTACCTATATGTATATGTGTGTATATGTGCACGTATTGATGCGTATGTATCTCTATCTATATGTGTGTAAATGCATCTGTATGTTTTACATATACATGTGTGTGTCTACATATATTTATATCTGTGTGTAAATATATAATATACATATGTGCCAGGAACCGGTGCTGTGAGCCCGTGTGTGTTTGAAGTGTTCTTACATTTGTTCAACAAACACATGTATTGAATAATGCACAAAATAATCACATAATACATTAGGCAATGTTGTACAATTCATTGCATTACCACAGATATACGTATTGACTGTTGCAAATGTGAGAACAAATGTCTACACTATTTTACGGTGATTACATTTAAATATACGGATTTTTAAATATACGAACAGGTATTTTAGACTACCTCCGGGAAGGTTTTCCTTGGCCCGCCCAGCCATTTAAACATACGGAATCCAATTCATTTAAACATACTGCAACTACATTTAAATATGCGAACTGGTATTTCATACTACCTCCGGGGCCTTGCGGTCTGGCCTGCCCTCCACATATTTAAATGTCGTTACCGTACATATATGTCCAAACAATGTAACAATAGATGGTGCAACTCTATGCGTTCCTGTTACGAATGTAAAGTTTATCTTTTCCAATGGATACACTTCCTGGTCCAGGACGTGCGTCAAGTTCGCACAAAATGAACAAATACATCAATCATCAAATGATGAATATTACGTAGCTCTTCTATCTACTTTCGGACTCCTGTGCAAGGTGAGTGCCTTTGTAATCTCACACGGCAATGTGCATTCCACCATTTCTGCAGGATGTTAGATTCCATTGAACCGCTATCGTCTATTGCCATGTAAGATTACCAGTGGGTATTGCCAACACACCCGTCAATCCATGCAATGAAATCACCATCGGCATATCTTCTTTGGATCTGGACCTTTACAATTGTCCCCCAAATGCCTGGCCGGGTAAAATTGTGATGCCATATTTTGTTCCCTTTGTATCAATATAGACTATTTGGTTTGTTCTATCCTATCCCTTAATGACTGGTGGTGGTGCATTGCTGTCAATTGGTTGCTGTACATGAATCCATATATAAATGGATGATTTAGGGGTACCCCCATTTAGGAAACCCCATGTAAGTTAGATGTTATGCTACTCTTCGCTGTAGCTGTAACCCTAATGATAGTTGTTGGCAACGTCCCTATCTTGCTGGTGGTATTCCCCTTAGTTTCTAGGGAACAAAATTGATATTAATATGGGACAAGCCAAACCTACCCTGCTGAAGCCAAAAAAACGCTGTTGCTCATGGATGTTCATCCCCAAAATATAAAATACGGTATCATCGCTTTTGACCGTTCTAATATGGTATTGTCTGAAAATAGGATATATGGAATACCCACAATTGATGCCCATTAAAAAAACTAGGGAAAATGTGTGCTGTGATTTGATGCTGGTTGGAGAATATGTGAAAAAGCAGGGTTGGAGGATGTACTACCCATTGCACCTTTGTAGCTATGCCGCTGGTGGCAGTCCAGCGTGGCGTCCTGAAACCCCAATCATCGCAGCTTCGCATGACATCGCTGTCCGTGGTGCGTGACGTCTCGGTCTCCTGTGGACACTGTGGCCAACGTGGGATCTTCCAGCTGGGGAGATAAGATGTTTTTAACATGACAGGATTTTGTTCAGGGTCAAAAAAATGTTGAAAACGCAACTTGAATCAAAATGACTTGTCTACCTACCATTACCTACCTACCTACAAACCATCCTAAACACAAAAGCTTCGGCTGCAAAAGAAGTTGAAAGCGCTACGAATAGGCTGTTTCTTCATTCAAAATGATCCAGTCGAACTCAAAACAGCAAACACGAACCTAACACATTTAGGACCCCAACAAAAAACCCTTCTCAGGGGTCACTCGATTTCATGGATGAAACAGAGCTCGCGCTGTGGTTTTGTGCATTTCGATGAGACCTGATTAAAACCGCTGATCCCAAAATAAAGTTGTGTTTTCCCTTCAAACTTTCCACCATGCGCTTTTTTCAGCGCATCCACCAAATGTTCCAGCAGTGTGTTCTTTCTTATATAGATTAGTAGCGTAGCATCACATGTGGCAAGTGCAAGTAGTAATTCTGTAGTGTAGCATGAAATATGTATGTGTGTACCATGGAATCATAATTATGTGTGCCAGCGGCCATTCTGAACATGGCATCAAGATACGTGTGGCCAGTGCAATTCTTCAATCAAGTATGAGCCCAAGTGCAAGTGGAACTTCTGAGGTATTAGCCCCTCCACCCCACCCCATCCAATACTTTTTCAGGGCGGCGAGTCAGCCGATAGCCAAACACAACATCAGCACGCCCCAGTCAAGAGCTTCTACCACTAAATCCACAGACCCAACACTCAATTTGCATCAGGCCGCAACACCTTGAAACATACGATTTTGATCGATTTTGCTGCTTACAGAATCACACGGGACCTACTAGATGGATCAACTGATGCAATGGTGTTCCCAAGAAACATATGAAGCCACCTAGCAGCTTTTGCCACGGTAACAAATAGTGATATCAACCATTGCAATCATCCACAGTTTCGGGATTCCACAGTTTTCGGGCTACCATTGGGTCTCGAGACAAACTTCATTTTCAGTGGGATCTTCCAAATGATTTCCAGCCTTGCTGACCACCGCGCCTGGGTTAGCATGGGCATGGTTTGCCGCGCTTTAAACCTGGCATGGGAAAACCACGCCTCAGAAACAGATGAACATCAACGGATCAATTTGAGTTGGAAATTGATGGAAACTCTCGATTCATCAACTTGGTTTTTAGAACTTGTGTATTGACATGTATTGGCTCCTAAACAATTTCTGCGAAACAATGGGGCAACCATTTGAAAACATGGGGATAAATATATATAATTGTTAAATAGACGTCCTACGAATAGAATATTGCCTGCTTTGGTTTTGGTCAGGTACAAGTCAAGATTAGCAGAAACTCATCCTATGTTTAGCGTAGCGCAGCGCAGCCCAAACAGTATTGAATACATTTTCGTATATTTGTTGCATTTTTAATGTTTTACACAAAGATAGATTCTACCTGACCGCCTCGACTTCAACAGTATTCCATACCCATACTACCCATTAACCCCAGGCCACTTGGGCTTGTCCGAAACACGTGAACACTCCCAAATTGCACGGGTCATGTGGGAAAGCCAATGCCATAAACCTACCGTTTGGAAGGTAATGGTTTTGGCATGGTTTATTATTCGGTTTACCACATCGATCAGTTTCAATGATGGTAAACGATGTTTTTTTCCAGAAATGTCAGACCAACCGCCCATGTGAATGTTCATTCCACGCCAGCAGTGTTCAAGACCCTCTATTCCACTTTAGTGATTGGTTGAAAAGGGGGTTCTCAGGAATTAACGTAATTGATCATGATATGTCATAAATAGTCACCAAGAAACGAAGTAATGCTAGAAAAAACAATAGCAAACCATACCCAATTGTACAAGACATATCCATAAACCAGTTGTATGAACCATCCAAATGTGGTGGTTTATTCTTGTTTTACTAACACCCCCTATAATCTAACAACCACATACTATTAAAATAAACAATGGTTTATCAACTATATTGGTAGTGATAATCATGATATTTAGTTGGTACCCTCTGGTAAACATACAAAAAACTATTGAACATGAAGCATTTATAGTGGATTTACCTATTATAAATGGTGATTTTCCATAGGCTAATTCCCCCAGTTCATCCGTTCGGGGTTGATGAACTCCCCAGATCGCCTCATGTCTTTCGCTTTCAGGTGGGAATGGATCAAGGCCCTGCCGTCCGCGGAATCATGGTATGCTACTGACCAAATGGGCGGAAATGGACATTTTAACCAACAAAAATGAGGTTGTGTTACTGTAACCGGCAAAACATCGAACATATAGGTATTTATCTTTTTATATATAGTGGACATATGTATACATTTACATATATATTATGTTATACTTGTATACGATTGGAGAGAGTCTCTAGCAAGCGAACAACGGCAACTGAACACCCATCAATTCCAAATGATTTAATGTTGCACAAAATGACTTTCCACTGACAGCTTCATGAAATACTGATAGATTGATAGATTGATCGATTGAGGGTTAATAGATAAATAGATAGATAGATAGATTAGATTAGATTAGATAAATAGATAGATAGATGGATAGATGGATGAATAGACAGATCGACAGATCGATAGATCGATAGATCGATAGATAGATGGATAGATGGATAGATGGATAGATGGATAGATGGATAGATGGATGGATGGATGGATGGATAGATCGATCGATAGATAGATCTATAGATGGATAGATAGAAAATAGAATTATATATATATATATGTATATACATGCATTCCCTTGGAAAATAGGTTTTCTAAGATATCCCTACAGTTGCCCTACAGTACGAACGGTAATGGCATGACTTCTCGGGCAGCAAACCCAGAAGGTGGTGCAGCAAGTCACTCACCACACCAACCATTCCCAAAGCGCATGGAACTCGCTCTTCTACCATTTCAGATAAAATCATGTATGGTTCATATGTGTATATATATATTACAGTATATGTATACAATGACTCACCAAAAAAGATAGAAACGTGATTCTCCACTAACTGAGTAGGGATATACTTTCCCATTTTGTTTTCGGTTGACTATATAATATATATTATTATATATGTACGTAAATATATATATATATCTATCTAAAAAATATAATCTCAGTTCTGGGAATGAGAGGATCGAGATTGCCTTGGTAAGTTTGGTACAGTTGGCAACAACTCAGGGCTGGGAGGTTCAATGCCGAGTCCTCCGTTTCCCCAAGGGTCAAATCAGCCTCTGTACCTGTCATTTCCCGATGTATATGTTTGTTTAGTAGAACCCTGGTTGTTTATTAGTCCATACAACATTTTGCATCGTTCAACCTAAACGTTCACGTGTTAACCACCTTGATTTCTCGTGGTAAAATCCAATATTCTATGCGTTAACACCCCACTTGAGAAGCTCTGTCATTGATTATACGGATTGTTTACGGTTCCATATATATGTATATAGTATGTTATATATATATATATGTATATTGAATAAATTGGTTATCCCATTTCTCCCATGAAATCCTATTAAATTCCAGGGAAACCTATGAAATCATCATCAAATCACTATTCAAATTACCACTCAACCCAATGAAATCCATGAAATCTCCCTTAACTCAATGGTTCATCAATCGCTTCTCCTTCCCGATCGCCAAGGCACGGATGAATTTTGGGGCACTCGATGGAGGTCGGCGCGCGGCGCACAGAGAGGCTGCTGGTCCTGGGTGAAGAATGAATTGGTTCATGATGTAAACCCCTCAATTGTATATATATATATATATATATTTATTTATTTACACAGAACACTGTTAGATACTGTTAGACAACAAAAATTCACCCAACAATTGATTTTTCCTAATGTTGTTGAATGGAGGCTAACCAAGAATCATGGGGGGTATAACCAAAAATGATGGATGCATAATATGGCATACCAATGGATAATTGATGGTCATTGGAATAATGCGGGACTCACCCAATGCCATGAACCATCTCCAAGTGATCACCATTTTGAATCATTTTTTATGATTGTTGTAAACCATCCCCAAATGTTAGTCATTTAATGTTGTTTATGGCATTGGGATTATCGCATTAGTTGATTTGCAATTTTTAACCTAAGATTAGTTATACCTACCGTAATAATAGTTGATTAGGAATTTTACCCCTAACATTAGTTAGTAATTTGAACAAGGCATATCAGTTATCACCTTGCAAAACATTAGTTGATTAGTTAGTTGGTTTATAGGTTCAACAATTGACAGCTAACATTACCAATGAATACCAATGACCTGTTTAGTGAATAAACTATTAGCCAACTTGTCAACAATTGATAAAAATATAATGTACTAATGTTTTACCCCTAATATTAGGTATACCTAATTCGATGTGATATTCATATATTCGATTTTAAAGATTACGGGTACTAACTCCGGTTGTTGAATGAATAGTGCCATCCCCGTAGTATTCGTTAGTCCCTCATGACTGGGACCCCAATTCACCGATCCAATATTAATTCAGAATTTCGTTCGGGGAATATTTCATGTTTGGGAGAATGGCGATGAAGATCAGAACAATAAATATTGCAGTGCTATCCTTAAAAAAACATGAAACAGCTGATCAACTGGATTTTGATGATTACGATGACGATGAATTTAACTGCAAAACACAGATTTATATATATATATTGATTGTTTTGTCAACCAACTATGGGAGATTTCAATGGACAACCATTCTTTTGTTTTGGGTTTGATTTCGTTGGAACCGATCTTTGAAAGACCTGGCAGATCCCATAAAAAAGCGCCATGGCCAATGCGGCCCATGGCCATGGCACATCCATCCCGGGAATCTGAACATCATGGGGTAAACTAACCACTGTAAATGTTGGTATGGCGATCCGGCTGAATCCGACTTTGATTATAGTATATTATAGTGAAGGTATGATGGTATGTCTATTATATTATATATACGATGGTTGATCCAAATTCCTTTAACCGGAAACGGCCATTCTTCGCGATAAAAACCATATTTCCCGAATCTTTCGCAAAGTCCATGTTTATCTTTCGCGGAACCCATGTTGAGCAACAACTCCTCTTATGATGATTCATTCACACAAAATTATCACGGATATTACTTCTTCATAGCCTTGTAAACATGCAGCTACCATCACGGAATCCCCTTCTCAGGACAAGTTGTTGCTGATTAGGCAACTTTTTGCATGGCTTACTGGGCCACTCCCTTCAAAATGCACTTTGACTTCCGCCCACTCTTTCGCAAAACTTTCGCGGAAATACCATGAAATACCCTTATCCGCAGACCCCAGCCATCAGCACGGGGGGCATCAGAAGAAAAGCAAACACCAGGGGCCTTGGTGTTTGGCTCTCGCAAAGCCTCACTTGTGAAAGCTTGGTTGCTGCGTTTGGACCTTGTTTTTTTTGAGACTTCAGAAAGCAACGTTAGGCAGCACCAGCGGCAGGCGCAAGGATGTGCTTCAAGACCATGGTATTTCGCTGTGGCGAAGCCGTGGCAAAGCCTCACCTTCGGAAGCTTGGCTGCTATGGTGCGGTACCATTCTCCTGCTGGACTCCGCGGCAGTATGTGGTAGCCCTTAACAATGAAAATGATTCATAATATGCAACTTTCGCAAAACTTTTGCGAATAAAAAAATATTTCGCGAACTCGAAAAAAACTTCTGCGAGGGTTTCCAACACAACACGCACGGCTTTCGCAATTAAAACTCCTGACAAGGACCTTTAGATCGACTGCCATTTATATATATAGTGTATATCAAGATAGATAGATAGATAGATAGATAGCTAGATAGCTAGATAGCTAGATAGCTAGATAGCTAGATAGCTAGATAGCTAGATAGCTAGCTAGATAGCTAGCTAGATAGCTAGATAGCTAGATAGCTAGATAGTTTGATAGCTAGATAGCTAGATAGCTAGATAGCTAGATAGCTAGATAGCTAGATAGCTAGATAGCTAGATAGCTAGATAGCTAGATAGCTAGATAGCTAGATAGATAGATAGATAGATAGATGGATAGATAGATAGATAGATAGATAGATTGGTAGAAAGGATGGATGGATGGACGGATGGATCGATGGATGGATAGATAGGTAGGTAGACAGAATTATATATATATAAATTTCAATAGATCTCACATGGTATCCCTACCTATATCGGAAGAAAATCCATTGAATCACAATATCCATTGGCAATTTCCCCAAGGTTTTCACCACGGCATGGTGCCACGGTCGCCCCGTCATGTTTCTTTGTCATCTCACGTTCCCAGCTTCTATTCAGGTGTTATCAAGAGGTTCTCAATAGCTTGACTCGCTTCTATTCCCAGCTTCTAAAATCTGTATTGGGTTATCATACACCAACAAGTCTTTTTTGAACACCCACGTGGCGTCGCCAAGTCACATCATGTCTCTACCCTCCTCGTGGCTGATACCGGGCGGCTGCCGCGGGGACTGACACAGAATCTCCTCGGCTGTTCCCCTATATGGGGCAATTTCAAAGAAAACAAGGGAAAAAAAAATAACCAACATTAACCATGGGATTTTGGGGTTCTCCTATTTTCAGACAAAACAATATTTCCCCAAAATGGATGGTTGAGCAAAATCAGCCAAAATTGGCTATCATCAATGGGAGAACCAACGAACGGTTTGGGGTACCCATGTTTTAGGAAACCTCCATATGTCCCTGTTGATGAAGGGAAAAACCACGTAAAACTGGGATTGTTTGATGATTCCCTTCAGTGATGACTGAGGAATGCTCTAAGTTTGAAACAAATTTGAAATGTAGCCAACCAGTGTTTACCCACTTTGCTGCAGGTTGAGGGTCTTGGAAAACGCGCTGGTCTTTTTCAACAATCTGACGCGGAAGGATTTTGACATGTTGACGTGCCTATAACATAGAAGTGTACGGACGAGACAAACAAGTGGAGAGTTGCAGGGTCGATTACCCTCGGGTAATTTAACATATTTAACGTAGCTATGGAAAATGACAATGTTTAATAGGGAACTCGTCGTAAATGATCTATAAGTAGGCAATGATCCATAGCATATCCAGAGGGTACCGCTTGGGTTCAGAATGGTGTCAAATCTTCATCCACTTGTGCAGCCCAAGTTTTGAACATGTTTTCGACAGCAACATGTCTCAAGTTTGGCGTCCAATTGACATCCAAATTTCCACGTGATATCTGGCGCTCAAACAATATAGTGTTCCAATGGGTCCACAAAATTGGTCAAAACAAGGTCAAACCAAAACATGTTCTTCATTTTGTGTTGGTTTCATCCCATTTTTGCTGTTCATCTGAGTATGTTCTAACTTATACATGTTTATTGGATCTTATGGGTCAAAACCCTGGTACCTTTTCGTTCACGTCAATATGTCTGGGATTTACGGATGTTCATCCCCTCAACATGTGGTATTTGAATGTACTTTGTCGGTTTCGACCCATACACCCTTTGGACCTTTGGGAATTTAACAGTTGGCTATGGAAGTCATGGCCCATAGATGATACGGATGGGTATTTATCTTTAAACATGATGACCTTCCATTGCTATATATATATATATATACCGAGGTCTTCGTTCGTAGCACTTTTTCTGGGAGACTAGGTTGTTGACTTCTTTTTGAGATATCGGTCAGAAACAGTAGTTCTTCACCAAAGCGCCTACTTTTGCAATTTACCTATGATTTCCCTGGTTTCATTTCATGCTGCATTACCATGTTACGCATTCAACCTCATTCAATCCTATGTCAGTTGAATTCCCTAATGTGGGCCATTGATAAAACTAAGTGAAGCAATGACAAGTGGCCCGCAAATCGACAGGGTCAACCACCACCTACCCTCTATCCACCATAAGCGAATTAAATCAAAACGCTAAACTCTGACCAGCCATGTTAGCTGGTCAATCGGCTTTGAAGTGCCACCAACAGACTCTTTGGCTCACCATTTCTTAGATTATGTTCATTTTTGTGTGCGATGTGCACGTTTTATTCGAAAGTTCGCGCCTACAAAAACCTTCAAAAACCTTCAAAACTCCCTCAAAAAGCTTCAAAACGACTACAAAAACCATCAAACGCCTACAAATCCCAAAAACTAGGTCACTTTGCTTTTTAGTGTTTTCGGCAATATGCAAAAAATTGAAATTTTAAGCCTTCTGCTTTTTTTTTGGCAGAGTTCTCACGGAATAATGTTTTTGGAAGAAGCATGGTCATGATTGCAAGTTTGAACACTGTGCGTGTGTGTGTGCACATCACCATGCGGATTGGGATGCACGACTTATTTTGTGAGAGACCATTTGAAACCAGGCTTTTTCCATGAGCGAAATCTATGATCAATTCAGGGGGTCGGGGAATGACAAAAAAAATCAAGGTTGCAGTGGAGGGCATAAAGCTCACGACCGGTTTTTGGAGATATCGACCAAAACGTCTACTTTTTGAATTAGCGTCCAGAAAAAGTAGAACACTAGGGGTCGACCAAAATTTCTTGATCTTTTGAAGACCTAGGTGTATATATATATATATGTGGCTTCCCTTTCATGGAAAATCTTATGAACAAATGGATGGTTTAGGGGTAACCCCCATTTTAGGAAACCTCCATATATATATATATATATGGAGGTTGTTCAAAATTATGGTACCCGAAAACGCCCTTACGCCGCGCTTACGCGAACCTTTCGCGCCCTTTCGGGCCCCAGCAGAATCGGGACATGAGATTATGATCAGGTTTTCGTTTACTTATACGTTTATAAATAATGGTATTCAGACCTTTCGCGAACCTTACGCCGCCCTTTCGCGGCCTTTCGCCACTGCAGCAAAACATACACATCCATATCTGCAGATGTCACTCGGATACTAAAAGCCTTGCATGGGTTTTAGGACTATTATGTTAAATTACCAGGGGGTAGTTGCTTTGCATCCCATCTTTGTTGCTTAAACTCAACCTCCAGCCTCCCATGGCCCTGGGTCGCCGGGGCCGGACGGTCGTGCAACACAGTCTCTAAACGAGCAAGTTCCTGTCCCCAAAATGGGATCTAGGGGGAACTTCTGGGGGAATCATTGGGGATATACTGGGGATACACACCCGCAATACCGGTGTATATATAATGATGAGACCGAGCAAGAATATCATGGGATATTAAACGGGAATATGAATGAATGGGAAGCTTGATGATTAAACAGTGGATGGAATGGGGTACTCTAGTACAAACCCGTAGAGGTACTTGGAAGGGCCATGGACTGTGTGAACTGTTTCGTACAAAGATGACATACTTGGGGACATGAGGGTTGTCTTTTGCTACATACCAGTTGTATTATTCGTAGTTGATAATGATGTTGAATATCAAAGTTATGTTGGGTGACCATGACAATGTGAGATATTGATAACTAATGCTCAGGTTTTGTAAACAACTATTAGGAGTTCTCATGAGAAAACATTGGATATGATGGGGGCATCACGGGGATATAAACTAACAACACATGGGGATGATAACCAACTTTTTGGTCAAAAACACCTATCGAGAGCTGAAAGAATCCTGTCCGATACCACTCGGTTGACGTCCGGACATGCAATAGAATTCAATCCAATTTTCACAGTGAGGGACTCTGGTTCCAAGGATTTCGGATATTCCTCTCCTCTGGAGAAAATCAGGAGCGATCCTGAAAATCCTGCTGGAAGTTTCATGGCTCCATCGGCATCTGGGCTGAACTAAGACCACTAATGGAAGATATTTTCACTTTAGGCACTTAATGGAAATATTAGTACTTATTTGAACTTATCATAGAACTTATTTGAACTTGTTTTTACTTATTTTCACTTATTTTCCTTATTTTAACATATTTTTTGATATTGTTTAAAGGTTAATAACTGGTAATAGACGAATGTTTTTTCTTTTCACACATTTTGAAAAATAGGAAAAATGCATTCGAAGATTTATACGTTGGCTATTGTTTACAGGAATCTTCTGAATTTCTGACTTTCTGAATTTTCTGAATTTTCTGATTTTTACAACAAGACGTGGGGTATACCCCCAAAATAACCATTATAAATGCCATTAACATAAGAAAATGATGATAAACTATTGGATTTGCGGACCTTAAGAGCACCAATCCATTCTGATTGAACCACCAGTTGATTGAAGCAACAAGATGTTAATCCTGTGGGTATCTCCCAGTTTTCTCCGCTAAACAAATCCCAATGCTTGTTGGCTATACAGATTCCTACCTGCTCATATTTTTGTAATGCCAACGGCTGGGCCAAGGATGAATCCCGTTTTGGGAACCATAATTAAAAGTACAATCAATATATAATTAAATGATGGAAAGTTGGCATTGGGGAATACCATGGCCACAAACATGATTTTGATACATATTCAGCTATTGGATGATATTGGGATATTGTTGTTTTTGGAGGTAAAATATATCATATATCTATTCTATATATATATACAACATGGCAACACCTGTTTACAGATGGTGGTTTCAATGCTATTCGCGGACTCACGACCCCAAAAGAGCTGGTTCGGGTCGCCTCAAGCAACCGAGGCTGGTCCCCTCATTCACTAGGAAAGCAAGCCTCTTTTGCTTAGCATGTGCAATTATTCGTGAATGTGAGCGTCAGACAAACTAAGCACTCCCTGCAAAACTGACAAAGACCTTGCAACCAGAATCGTAAGCACTAAAGCTTTGAAGACTCCATGGCAAAGTCCCCCGCTCCAGGCTTTGGTTGAATGTATAGCCAAAACTCAAGCTTTGAAGACTCGATGGCAAGGTCACCCGTTCCAGGCTTTGGTTGAAATTATAGCCAAAACTCAAGCTTTGAAGACTCGATGGCAAGGTCACCCGCTCCAGGCTTTGGTTGAAGTCATGGCCAAAACTCAAGCTTTGAAGACTCGATGGCAAGGTCACCCGCTCCAGACTTTGGTTGAATCCACTGCCAAAACTCAAGCTTTGGAGACTCGATGGCAAGGTCACCTGCTCCAGGCTTTGGTTGCAAAATCGGCCAAAACTCAAGCTTCGAAGACTCGATGGCAAGGTCACACGCTCCAGACTTTGGTTGAAGTCAATGCCAAAACTCAAGCTTTGAAGACTCGATGGCAAGGTCACCCGCTCCAGGCTTTGGTTGAATTTATGACCAAAACTCAAGCTTCGAAGGCTCGATGGCAAGGTCACCCGCTCCACGTTTTCGTTGAAATTCGCACCAACACTCAAGCTTTGAAGGCTGGATGGCAACGTGACCTGCTCCGTGCTTTGATTGAACCAAACGCCAACACTCAAGCTTAGAAGACTGGATGGCAAGGTCACCCGCTCCAGGCTTTGGTTGCAAAATCGGCCAAAACTCAAGCTTCGAAGACTCGATGGCAAGGTCACACGCTCCAGACTTTGGTTGAAGTCAATGCCAAAACTCAAGCTTTGAAGACTCGACGGCAAGGTCACCGGCTCCAGGCTTTGGTTGAAATGAAAGCCAAAACTCAAGCTTCGAAGACTCGATGGCAAGGTCACCCGCTCCAGGCTTTGGTTGAAGTCATGGCCAAAACTCAAGCTTTGAAGACTCGATGGCAAGGTCACCCGCTCCAGACTTTGGTTGAATCCACTGCCAAAACTCAAGCTTTGGAGACTCGATGGCAAGGTCACCGGCTCCAGGCTTTGGTTGAAGCACCTGCCAAAACTCAAGCTTCGAAGACTCCATGGCAAGGTCACCCGATCCAGACTTTGGTTGAATACATCACCAAAACTCAAGCTTTGAAGACTCGATGGCAAGGTCACCCGCTCCAGGCTTTGGTTGAATGTATAGCCAAAAATCAAGCTTTGAAGACTAGATGGCAAGGTCACATGCTCCAGGCTTTGGTTGAAGCACCTGCCAAAACTCAAGCTTTGGAGACTTGATGGCAAGGTCACCCGCTCCAGGCTTCGGTTGAATTTAATGTCAAAACTCAAGCTTCGAAGACTCGATGGCAAGGTCACACGCTCCAGGCTTTGGTTGAAATTCTCACCAAAACTCAAGCTTTGAAGACTCGATGGCAAGGTCACCAGCTCCAGGCTTTGGTTGAAGTCATGGCCAAAACTCAAGCTTTGAAGACTCGATGGCAAGGTCACCCGCTCCAGGCTTTGGTTGAATTTATAGCCAAAACTCAAGCTTGGGAGACTTGATGGCAAGGTCACCCGCTCCAGGCTTTGGTTGAATTCATTGTCAAAACTCAAGCTTGCAAGGCTACAGGGGAGATTGTGCAGAACAACTCCATTTGTTAGTCCCTCAAGTTTCGTAAGTCCTTCCAGAGCAAACTCTCTCTCAGCAGTTGGGAGCCCACAGACATAACACCATGCAGTGTACACATTTGTTGGTATGTAAGTGCAGGACAGCATTGCCGGTTTTCCAACAATCCCTTGCTCTCCCAGGGTTTGATCGAGCATCAGCTTTGCATTCACATGATGCACAGCGAGCTTTGCGCCGGGCTTGCATGGAAACTTCTCAGACACCAACCTCCGCAGGTCGTACCCAAACATAGAGCGGGGGACGCTTAATCTCATTCCTTCTCCAGTCAAGCACAGCACCTGAAGATCGACCTCATCAGTTTCATCTGCTGCACCTTTGCCAGTAGATGATGGATCCACATAGCCATGTTCTCCACCGGACATTCGTCAACATTTACGCACTCACTACTGGGCAGGGCCGAAAAATCTTCACCAGACATCATCCAGCACAAACCCGGCCCAACTTTTTCTGAATTTTCTTTTTTTTTGAATTTACTGAATTTTCTGAATTTTCTAATTTTTCTGAATTTTCTGAATTTTTAAAATTTTCTGAATTCTTTTTATTTAAATATATATAATAATTCTGAATTTTCTGATTTTTTTGACTTTTCTGACTTTTCTGACTTTTCTGAATTTTTTGTTTTTCTTTGAATTTTCTGAATTTTCTGATTTTTTGAATTTTCTGATTTTTTTTTGAATTTTCTGAATTTTCTGACTTTTCTCTGACTTTTCTGACTTTTCTGAATTTTCTGAATTTTCTGAATTTTCTGATTTTTTTGAAGTTTCTGAATTTTCTGATTTTTTTGATTTTTTTGAATTTTCGGAATTTTCTAAATTTTCTGTTTTTTTTGATGTTTTCTGTTTTTTTTGAATTTTCTGAACTGAACTTTTTGAATTTTCATCAGCCAAAACTGCTACCATGAAATTGCAATTCAATTCCGTTACTCCCTCGAAATGAAAACAAAACAAAAAATGATTTCCAGCTATTTTCAGATACTTTCAGATATGTTCAACTATTTTCAGATATTTTCAAATATTTTCAAATACTGTATTTTCAGATATTTTTCACTAATATTCGAATATATTTGATTTTATCTTCATTATTATGTAATAAACTCAAATAAACAATTAGTGAAACTTAACTCAAAATAATTTCAAAAAACAATTCAAACAAGATATTAGCAAGATACTAGCAACTTATCAGATACTTATAAGCTCGTTAAGTGCCTAAAGTGAAAATTTCTTCTATTAGTGGTCTCAGAACGGACCATCCGCGAGGATGATCGAGGATGTCACGCCACTGCGCTTCCAGATCACGCGAGATATCCACTTTGGCGCCGATGTGTTGGAATCCACCTTCGTCAGAGGCTAAAGCGCTTTCATCCTGAAAATTGGTTGTTAGTGGGAGATCACGGGTCTTGATGACCTCCATCAGTTCCGTCCAGCTGTTTTTGCAGCTGTATGATGTACACATTTATGTTATTTATGTTTGTGGCTGTTGATCTAAATTCCTTGATCTGCAAACGGCCATTCTTCGCGAATAAAAAACATCTTTTGCAAATCTTATGAAGATTCATTCATCACCTGCCAAATCACACCAAATTATCACGGATAACTTCTTCATAACCTTGTAAACGTACAGCTAGCATCCCGGAATCCCCTTCTCTGGACAGGTGGTTGCTGATTAGGCATCTTTTTTGCAAGCCTTACTGGGCCACTCTCTTCAAAATGCACTTTGACTTTCGCCCGAACATACCCCTATCCACAGACCCCAGCCGCCATCAGCAGGGTGCGCATCAGAGGAAAAGCAAACACCAGGGGCCTTGGTGTTTGGCTGCAAAGCCTCACTTTTGGAAGCTTGGCTGCTCTGTTTGGAGCTTGTTTCTTGGGACTTCAGAAAGTAACGTTAGGCAGTACCAGCGGCATGTGCAAGGATGTGCTTCAAGATCATGGTATTTAATTATATGGCTGCGGCGAAGCCTCACCTTCGGAAGCTTGGCTGCTACCTATGAAGGGAAAAGTAAATGTGCAGTACCATTCTCCTGCCGGACCCCGGGCGGCAGGAGGTGTTTGCCCTTAACAAGCTGTCATGTAGATAATGATTCATAATATTTCCAACTTTCGCGAATAAAAAATGATCTTTCGCGAACTCGCAAAAAAAACTTTCGCAAGGGTTCCCAGCATAACATGAACGGTCTTCGCAATTCAAACTCTTTACAAGGACCTTTAGATCGATCACCATGTATACATTTGTATGAATTACAGTACCTGAATGAGGACCCTTTGGGGATGGTTACCAACTTACCAACCATAGTCATTTTAGCAACATCGCAGTGAGGTGGTTACTAGTTTGGCATTCATGTAATGTACACATTATCCCTAGCTCTGATTAAAATCCATCAACATCTACCAGGTTACCGATCTTGAGCATCAGGTATGGGGTTTACTGGTTTGTCTGCTTCAGATTAAGATTTATGATTAACATGTCTTTTTTAGGTTTACGTTTCTTTGGTCATTCCATGTACACAGTGTACAACTGACTTCCAGGTTTTTGTTGAATCCGCCAACCGTTGTTGTACTGGCGAAATCCACGGTTTCATGCTGATTTCATCCCCATAAGGTGTGAATCCCTACAAAAAAAAAGGTGGTGAAACTGTAAAGTCCAGAACGTGATGTGGGATGCTCATCCAACCATTGTGAACCGGACCACCAGAATCATCCCCAGAAAAGATGGCGAACCCCCACTGCATCTCTTGATTTGTTGATCAATTATATCTCTATATTACTCTTATTGGTAATGATTCGCATCCGTTCAAGTTTTGTTTGTGAAATCTTCGGAGTGGCTTCATCAATTCTCCATTGCCTAGCGCCTGGCTAGGATTCCTCACCATGTCAGGCTCCGGGTCTGGTGAAATCACGGTTTGTGATAAGCAAAGACCTGATATTTGAATATATTTGGGAATTGATTCCCCAAAATATCAGATCTACCCATCACAAACATGAATTCACGGTCTGTTTTCCGATCTGAATGGTCATTCACTGTCCAATCTGATGTTTCATTGTTATTAAATGTAAGACCAGAATTATATATAATATACAGGTAAAACTATTATAACAAATAAGATCGAAGAAGTAGTTATTAAACAAAAACATAATATTATATACAATAAAACCATTATATAATAAAATAAAATAAAATAAGATAATATAATATATAATACAATATACAAAATGATATAATATATATATAATAATATACAATATAATATAATATAATATAATATAATATATATATATATAATAATATACAATATAATATAATATAATATAATATAATAAAATATAATATGTTTCATAATATATGTAATAGTTTGGTGGGTCCAATCCAGCGGCCGTCCCTGCCTCCTTTGGGGGCTCTTTGGCTCTGCTCAAGGCCGTGTTTGTTGTCGTGGTGGCTTCCGCCTGCTGCGCTGTCAGGGGCGTGGCCAAAAATGGCCAGTTTGATGTATGAAAATGGCCAGTTCAATAGGGAAAACACAAGGAACATTATCATGTTTCAGTGGATGGAATGGGATATCCAATTTTAAGACCCAATTCGGGATATAAAGAAGCAAAACTAGGGATATCAGCCACAAGAATGAGCTATAGCGAGACACTGTTTTCAGGTAGGGACTACAATGTTTGGGATTCCAGAAAATCCCAGTCCATGGATGATGACACTGTCAGCCAGTATTTGTTGGTGGGCCTCTTCATACAAAAATCACTAAACAATCAATGAAAAATAATGACGCGCAATATCAAAGCCATTGAACAATCATGAAAAACCACAGAAAAGTGATGAACACTCAAATACAATATACACATATATTATAAACCATTGAAAGTAAATAAATGAAGGAGCAATCAAAAATGCTGAAGCCAACATATGATCACATATAAATCTATGCCTTGGAAAACATAATAAAAAATGATGAGCACACAATAAAAACCGTTGACAAATCAAAGAAAACTGATGAAACACATACATTTATGTGTATATATATATATATTATACCAAAAAAACATCAATGAAAAAATATAAACCACATATACACTGAGCAATCAATGACAAACAATGAAACACAATTTATAAAAACAGTGAACTGCCAGTGAACAATCAATGAAACATGATGAACCACATAAATTTATAAAGACTTGAAAAACCAATAGTAATTAGTGCTGGTCCAGTTATTCATACTTACATCCCAATTGTTTATGGTGCAACTATGAAGTCCCCATGTTTTGTATATCAATATGTCAATGTGTCTGTGGTGTTAATCCCCTGGTAATACGACATGGCAATGAAACATCGCCTACATCGCTGGTGAAGTCGCCATCGGTGGTGAATTTCCAAACGTTGTACTCTTTGAATCTACAATCTGGCTGTGTAAATCCCAAAAATGGTGGTATTGTATAGTACGGTATAATGGGGAGATAAAATCACCAAAATGGTGGTATAATGCTGAGGTAAGTATGATACCCTCTGGTAATTTAACATAGCTATTGAAAATGGCCATAGAAATAGTGAGTTTTCCCATTAAAAATGGTAGATCTTTCCATAGTTATGTAAACGTTTACCAGAGGGTAAGATATGGTGCTATATTTCATCTACCTCTTTGAATCTTTGGGCACTTGGGCATCCCAAAATCTGGTTGGTTCAATCCCTGATTTCGGTGGACTCCCAAAAACAGGTGGGTCGGGAAATCCTTCCCCAGGGTTGGGAAAAAACACCCGAGTTTCGGTAAACTGGGAATATCATTTCGGCAAGAAAACACACCTGTGTAGTTATGATTCACCTATAATGAGTTGGAGCAACATCTTTTGTACTCAGATTATCCCCACTATATCCATGTATATCCTATGATTTCCTATTATATCCCCCATGATACCATCATTTTGTCTGGTTATAACCCACAAGTCTTGGTTGGTTAAATCCACTTAAATCCATATTTGTGTTGGTTAGTGTTGGTTATATTATATCAAGATTTCTGATGGTTCAGTCATCGATTTTCTTGGTGATTTCCATTCAAATCCCCTTGTTTGAAGGTGAAATCGCCATTTTTTCATGATTAAATCCATATTCCTGTGTTTGTTGGTCATTTGTTGCTTATGTATGTTTATGTCCTCATGTTTCATGTTGAAATCACCATGGTTTGTTGGTGAACTCTATGATATCCCCATTATATACATGTACGGAGGTTTCCTGAGTCATCGGGGTACCCCTAGTTCTCCATTTATAGATGGATCCATGAAACAAACCAGCTATTGGGATAGCTCTACGGAAACCCCCATTTACCATAGTTAACCATTATAAACCACTATTAAACCACTATTACCCTCTGGTAATTTAACATAGCTATTGAAAATTGCCCAGTCGAAATAGTTGATATACCCATTAAAAATGGTGGATCTTTCCAGTTCGTTATGTAAACGTTTACCAGAGGGCGACCATAGCAATGGAAGATCATCAATCATAGCAATGGAAGATCAATAGTGGATATCTATGATCATCACCATCAACATGCCATAGGTGGATCATGATCATCAACATTCATCACCATTCATCACCATTCATCACCATTAACCACCATTAACCACCATTAACCACCATTAACCACCATTAACCACCATTATTAAGCACTATTAACATCTACTAACCACCATAGCAATGGAAGATTCGTCTCACCTGCATCGCGGCGCCCTGGCTGCGACGCCAGGCCGAACGCTCCGATGCCGTGACCTGGTGCATTGAAGCGCCGAGGACTGCTGGGAAACTGCTGGGGAAATGGTGAGTTAACCAAGAAAAATGAATGAAAAATGGTGATTTAGATTGATTTAGTATGATTTGATGGGATTCAATCAACAAAATAACTTAAAGAAAGGGGAGGGTGGCTGTCTGGTATCGTGGTGGCTGTGTTAGGCTTCGGCCCCGTTCGGTTTTGCTTTTTGTTGAGAAGCGACGAAACGCAATTCTGGCTAGGGGGAATTGCGGGTCTTCGGCTTCTCGTTTTTTTGGGGGTTTCTGCTGTTGTTTTCTGGTTGTTACCTGACAGCTGAAACTCTTTCGATCAGCTCTTGAGCTGGATGCACCCTGGTTGATAGGAACATGGAGTTAGATTGAAACAAGCATAGTGATGTGAACATCTATCATTGACGATTCACTATAGAAATTGAGAATTTAAGCAGTAGAAACTATGATTGAAGTAAAGAAATAGTTGGTTTGAGCAACAAATGTGGGATATATTTCACTGAGATGTGGATGCAAATCCAAATTCGGTTCTAAAACGTGTCTCATTTGATTCCTGAAGATGTTGAAACAATGACAAGGGATCACCAAACTCGGAAGGTAAGCAGCATTAAGCAGCAATCATTGGGACTAAGTCAAGCCAAACAAAGGATGGAACAAATCATTCAACAGCAAGGTGATTTAACCCATCAATGATACACATTTTTTTCAATCAGCAAGAACTGTGGCTGGAAGAATTTGATTTTTCCAAAAGACTCTGGAACACATGTGATTGAAGCAATTGCAGCTTTAGAAAGAATGCTTCAGACCCACTCGGTTCAGGAATGCCAAGTCCTCATCCTCCACAACCCTGATGCCCAATAACCCACACTAACAAACCAGTCAATGCATTATTAAAACGCAGCGTTCATTTGAAAAAAATGTATTTTTGTTGGTTCTAATTATCAATCTAAATCACTAGTTTTGTTCAAATTCAGCAGGGATCTCTGGATGACGTGTAATCATCTACCTGATGGCTTATCTTGAATATTCAAGAATATTCTGCATATTCGAAAACACACAATATCCCGATTTAAGGTTAAAGTACGGGCGTGATTAAAGGAAATTATACAGGGCCCCAAAAAAATCATGGGACAATCCAGTGGTTTGGGCACCATCCCCCCAACCAATACTTTGACCTGAGCCTTCCAATCCCCACGGCAAGCTCCAACTGCCTTTTAATTAAGGTTTACAGGGACTTAGTAAACATGGGGATTATGATTATATCACCATTAAATCGCGTTAAATCAAATTAAGACCCACTTAAACAATTTTGAAAAACATTACTTTCAATGGCTGAATCCCATGAAACACCATTTTTGTTGGCTGATGGTAATTTCCCGTATCAAAAACACATATGGTGACGTTGGCCCGTGCTGTCGCCTTCAACTGCTCCATCATTTGTACTGACATCATCCGGGCCTCGTAGGAAGGCCCAGCAAGAGACACATTACTCCAGGATGTTGAAATGTATATATATATATACATATATGTAATGTGTTATATGCAGGTACAAAACATGTATAGTATACAGTATATGTATACTATAGTGTTTCTGTATATAAATTGTTTATATACATAGACATACACACATATATTATTTAAAATAAATATTATATTGTATATATATATATGTATTATACACTATTATACATGTGTGATATCTGCATATATCTATCTCATACGCCCAGGCGTTGGACTGTTTTAGCCATGCTAGGGTGTACTACCATCGAGATCATATGATCAGTAAAGGGGTACAGCTAGTGTATATTGGTGCTGTTGGCGGCTTTGTGGGGACTTAGGTAATGACCAGAAAGACATTCGACACATATTCAAATGACATCAAATATAATTAATGAATTGACGTTTCTCTGGGTTCATTCGTTTAGGACACATCTTCAGAATAAAGGGGAGCTCACTTCACTTGGTAAGATTATCCAGCATCGATTATCAACAAGCGGATTAAAATAAAGATCAGAAACAAAGAAACGACGGCGTCACATGATGTGGGGAAAATCCGGTTGATCTGCTCGAGGTGGAGGCATCAACAAACACGGAAACCTTGGCTCATTGCATTCCACCCAGGGTCACCCAGGATACGAATACCGAACACCATCAGAATTCTGCTTGGTTTACCCGTATCCGTATGTTTGCTGACAATATCCCTATTGTTGCTGCTTGTTGATGATTTATTACATTTATGATTTGCGGTCGATACCGCATATTAAGTTTGGTTGGTTGTTAATAGATGTTATAACACCCTTAACCAGTTGTTCTACAACAATATCAACATTCTTTGTTGATTGAAGTTGTCGATATCCGCATGTTTAATTGCACCAAATATCAACAGCCTCAACAGATCTGTCACTTTGCCCAGACACCAAATCGCTGACGGGCAAAGTAAGCACCAACGCTTCCACAGTGTCGATAACCACCTGGAAATCACGGCGGGAAAATCCCACACTGGTTCGGAAAAACCATGCCCACTGAACACAATGACAATGATCATGTATGTTCCGGTTCACTGTCCATTACAGTATGTTTAACATTTTTGTATTATTTTATGCGTTCAAATTGAGCTTCGATGCGATTGACATATGTTGTTTGGACAAATCGATCACCATGATTTCATTGCCTCAAACATGTCAGTCTGTGGTAGTCCACAAAGAAATAAAATCGTTTGCTGTTGACGGTTATTGAAAGTTGTGGTGATGCCAAAATTGAACTTTTTCCAGGCGCACGGCCTCCCGATACGACTTTTAACGAGCTGATACGACTTCACCCTAGCGCTTGTATAGCAAAAAACAAAGAAATAAAACTAAAGGATTATATAGTTTCTACCCATCTAGTCGGTTGGGGATGCCGAAAGCACCGAGAAGATCCCAACTTTGCAGACCTCTAAACCCAAGAATCGACCAATTAAATTGACAAAAAACAAATCAAATTGAGCACAATGTTATTACCATTTAAACTTTCATTATACATCTTCATTCTATCCATGTCTATCCTCTTTATATCCCCTTAATCCCCATCAATATGCTTAAACCACCTAAATCGAAGTCTTAAAAAGAACACATCAAACTATTCTATCCCTTAATATCCCCATAAAGTCCTAACCATTAAGTCACCACATGTGGCAATTAAAAAATCCTCCATTCATATGTGAATGTCCCATTCAAACCTCCATTTTGTAGATGATTTTCCCACTTTTACTCAACTTAAACCCATGAAATTTCCCATACAAGGTGGTGCCCCCAAGATAGCTAAGTTGGTTTATAACTCCAATAACTATGGTTTATAGGTGATATATCGAACTAGTTAATGGGCTTATAAACCAACTTAGAACTGGGGGGCACCACCTTGTATGTCACATTATTATAGCTGGATTTTCCGCATTTTCCCCTGAAATGCCCCACTTAAAACGTGGCGTTCTTCGGCCACCGCGGCACGGTGAAGGGCTCCGGTTCCTCCGCCATGATGGAGGCAGCGTTCACCGCGTGGCCGGGCAGCAAGGTGCCAGCGCCTAAGTTGGTTGCACGTGGTACAAACACATAGTCTATATGAATATCTATATGTAATCTATATGGATAGTCTATATTATATAGATTATCGTTTTTTTTTGGGGGGGGTCCCTATCAATTTCCAGTGTTTTTTGTTCAAATCAACAGCTGGACTTTGACTTGGAGGTCATGTCCTTGCTGAGTCTATCCCGTCCGTTGTTCAACAAACGCTTATCGCTGGATCATCGCTATATTGCAATCTTGAACAAGGAAAAAGGAAGAAATGAAAGAGACAAGGGACAAATAGAATGAACAGGAAATACATGGAATTCAGAATTGAATTGAACATCTAGTTATATAATTCAGAATTAAAGTTCCTCCAATTAAAAAACACGAAACGGGAAGGATATAACACGAACAAAAATAAACATGATAGGGGAACAAAAAGGAAAAAGGAAGTAAAATGAAGAGAAATAAGTGGAAAGAAAGGCAAACAAACGTATATAAATGACAAACGTTTGTACTATTTTTTGTGGCCTTTAGGGTTATCAATGTGGCGGGGGGCCTATCGCTTTACAGTGTTTGATGCAAGTTCCATGGCTTTTTGGTTTCCTCCTTCACAATTGAGTTACCCTTGTTTTGACCGTACCTTATGTGGATATCAATGGTGATATCGTGGTGGTATAGTAGTTAACACTATATTAGTCATGTTATTAAAATGATAAAATATTGAAGTACCATATCATATAAACGGTGGTAAATGATCTTATATAATTGATACTAAATGCGCATAGAATTTCACGGCTTCTGAAAGTGGCGCCGTTGTCTATCAAGCTGCAGCAGCTGATCCAAAAAAGTGATGACTAGTGACTAGCAGCCATTGAAAACACAAGTAGATACCCAAATAACAAAAGAACATGATGAATAGGTAAGGTTGTGAATATAGGAATATAGATATATACATAAGATGTTATACATATAGATATACATATATGAATTTGCTAACCAGCATGTTAGTTGACACCTGAGTTCAAGAGGCATCCGGCCCATCATCCTGCGGGCTCCTCTTAGATATGGGATATCAGCCAGTTACTCTCTGAGTCTTTTTTGTTTGTAAAAGAAAAGTCATTTACTTTATCTATCTATCGATCTATCTATTTATCTATCTATCTATCTATCCATCTATCAATCTACGTACCTACCTATCTATCTATCTTACTTATCCTATTTATCTATCTATCTATCTACCTATCTATTTATCTATCTATATGTCTTATCCTATCTATCTTATCCTATCTATCTTATCCTATCTATCTTATCCTATCTATCTTATCCTATCCCTCTATCTATTTATCTATCTATCTATCTATTTATCTATCTATCTATCTATCTATCTATCTATATTTCTTACCTATCTATCTTATCTATCTATATATCTATCTACCTATCCATCTATCTATCTATCTAACTATCTGTCTATACATATATGTGTACGTAGGTACGTAGAGGATGCAACATATTATATTTATATAATATATATATATATGTATATATATATATATATCACATATAAATATAATAACAACAATACTTATATAATAATAACAATACTTCAAGTAATACAAAAAAACACACACATAGACATATAAACATACGTATATAAACATATGTAAAGTACAATGAAGTACTTATATATATATATATATAAACAGTCATTTCGGAACTCCCGTGTTCATCTCTTGTGCCACTAGGCGACTCTGCATTGCCGCCATCCGCCTGATTCAACAGATCCCGGTGACATCTCGACTATTCACACCATTTGTTTAAGGAATATACGGTGATATAGTGAGATTAAAATATTCAAAACAACATGTTATCACTAAATATCACCAATATCACCCACGTTATTCTATACTCATGGTGGATCAATAAACCATTTTACGGGAATTTACTGGGATATGAATGGGGGTAAAAAGATATTGAAAGGAGAATCAACCAGCAACAACCAGGATGATAAGGGCGAACCTTAAGCATCTGGGAACTTGGGTCGTTGCAGGAATGGGAGTGGGGGGGTAGTTGAATCCCCATGATATTAAGAACTCCTTGAAATCCAGCAATTCTGTGCTCATTTTGAATCACGCAGTGTTCTTTGCCCAGCACACATTTGATGGCACATTGGAGAAATTATATGGAAATCCTTCCAGCAACCAGCCCTTTTCCATCTTCAGCAGGTTGCGAGCAGACTTAAAGGAAACACGATGGTTCATGAATCGATTGCCAACGGGACCCCCACAATTTGTCATGGTTCACAAATGGGGTTTGTCTGGATACCAAAAAAAAGACCCCCAGACAAAATCCCTATGCTTCGCAGTATTATCCGTTTTTTGGCCATAAATTGAGGTGCAAATTGCCAATTTTCAGACCCCACAAAGTCCCGATGATGGAACTAGCGTATCCACCTTGGGTGTCCAACATCCATCAACCATGCGCACTCTTTCCGTCCCAAAACTGGGAAACTCTGAAGAAATGTTGGAATCAAGTTGGAATCCCTAGATTTTAGCTCTTAGTATATACTGGCTTTAAGTAAATCTAGATATACTATATGATATATAAATTATATAAATGATACCCTATTTCTGTCTGGTAAACATCAGCAATGCCACCCTGATTTTCCCGTAACCCCGCCTGCTCTGTGACAATCCCAGCGCACGCTTTGGCGCCTCGGCACGATTTTTTTTCCACGGCAGTGCTGGAAAAAAACATCCCACTTGGTTATGTGAATTTTATTATCTTATCAATCTTACCAATCATTAAACATGAATGATGATTATAGTATTTTATAGTTAAAATATGTTAAAATCCCAAATGAATTTTATCAATCATTAAGCATATCCAAAATTATTCCATTCTCAAGCATCATTTTGGATGTGAACTGATAATTTGGGCTTCATCGACCTTAATGCCAAGTTCTCGGCTGTAGTCCTTGGGTCCAGCATGATCTGGTTGCTGTTGCTTTGGCTTCAATGCATCCCTTTCTCGGTGCGGTGCTTTGCAATCTCCTGTTCTGTGGTTTGTATATGCTGCGGCAACCTGGCCAGTTGAAATCGTGACCGCTGTCCAGAAGGCTCAAAGATTGCTGGAGCATCCTTATCCACATCCCGGTTGACCGTTTTGGCGGATAACCTCCATGTGGCTGTGAGTCAAATCCCGTGGAATCCACCCTTGTTCACATAGCCGGGTGTTCAGATGTTCATCAGTATGGTATTGAAGACGTGTTGATCCATTCCCATGGTAAAGTAAACCCCATGATCAAGTTGTAAGTTTATAACTTCGGATTCTTGTACTGTAAACGTGAAACACGTTTATGGTTTCTGGCATGATTTTCTCCACATTGCAATGTGTGTTTGTCTGACTATTGTACATCCTATTGCAACACTGTGTTTTTTCATGGTCAGCTGGAGAATGTGATCATGTTGTTTTTTTGAAAATTCTTTCGCACCTGCCACTTCCATCAAAGTCATGGTGAACTTATGTAAATCATGCGGCAACATCATCAACCTTACAGTGGTGTTGTTGAAAACAACACCCTTGAAATCTCATATGGAACCTGAAACTTAGAGTTCCAGGTTCATGCGCGACTTTCCTACCAAATAGGTGTTGAACTGGTTTGCAAAACCACGGCATGCAATGATACTGGATGCTCATCCCAAACTCTTGAATCACAAGTACAAATAATGTTTGGTTGTAATAATAATTCCCATGCTGCCATAATCATTATATACATTTATATACAAGTTATAACTATCCATTGTATATTGTATAAAAGTCCATTCACCAATTTATGCTGCCTGCAGTCACACTGGCTTAACCATGATCCCTCCAGGTTTCAAATCGACGTTTTTGCTTGAGGCCCCGTTTGTGCCGGTTATGTAAAGTTGAAATCCATCTTATTTTATTGGTTCAATCATTCAACCCACATGTTTGTTGATCAAATCACCATCAGGGGTTGGTAACTGTCCCATTTTGGGTATATTGGACATCACCTTATAGTAGCCATTATAGACCATATACCTAATGGTTGGGTGATGTTCAATGGGGACATTTAATGACCCATGGGACCATTGTCCATCAGGGACACCTCCCTTTCTCTCGCAGGGTCGAGACCCTTCTCTCGCCTTTTCGTCGATTCTTAAGCACCGAGCCTGGCGACCCGGTTACCCTCGGATTCGCATCAAAAGAGGGATGTTCATAGCTGGATGTTCCCTCAAAAGATATATATCGCATTGATTAACATTATATAATTTATGGTTATCTAATGGTTATCTAATGGTTATTAATCAAAAGATATATAGGTTTTGAGGCAACATTTGGGAAAATTTGGATGCTTGGGATCACGTAAAAGGATGAGTTGTTTTTGTTAAGCAAAAACAAAGGTGAAATGCAGCTTCTCTAGGCTAATCAAAACACTTCCGAACCATTATTGCCTTGTGCAAATAATTCATGATAATTCCCGTATCTAAACATATCTAAACATATCTAAACTATCATTAGTAATGCGGCGGCCACGATGCGGTCGCGACACGGAACCAGTGACTCTGAGCCCCAGATTTCGGGCACAAAATGGTGGGCATTTGTGTATGTTGCAGCCTTATGATCCTTTATGATCATTTACGACTGACTCATCTCATCTCGAATGCTTCCCAAAACAGGTGTTAATCAATCATTATTGTTTGGCAGGATAAAACAAATTCATCCATAAACAATGAAGCTAAACAACTAAACAATGCTAAACACAAACCCATTGACCAAGCATTCACCAGTGGGTTTGCCCACGTTGATGTCACTCACGACTCAACCATATTCATATGAACGTTCATGTGGAGCCCATCAAATCCAAATGTAAATCCCAGCCAATCCCATGAAACAAACACAACGAGTCCCAATAAATCCCAACAAATCCTATTTGAATAAATTATTAATATAAGACCCACTTGAATCAAATCCCAATAAATTAGATCCCAAATTGAAAAATCACAAGATATCACAAGATACCACTAAGCCAATGGTTACATAATGTTAGATACTTTCGATAGGACTCCCAGTATCGCACCTCCCCCAGCATCAACACGAGCAAACGGCTCTGGCTGGCTGCTGCTCTCATTTCGCCCTCCTGGCATAGCACTTCCCCACGCCTTGGTCACCGTCGCGGAGGATGGGGTACTGTCACAGCATCCAAAAAGTGGGAGATGAACCGAAGAACAATCAGGAAATCATATGATTTAATCAGAAAAACATGTTTTAATGCAGTTTAAGGCACGAAAATAACGAGTTCGAAAAACAACAGTTGAGATTTCAATGTGTCACCGGGTTTGTTCGTTGAAGGAAAGTGTTGCAAGAAACCACATTTTTTTTGTTACCATCACACATGGTGTTGGCTGCATGTTTTCCCTTCAACCAAGTCAGGACTGTGACATGTAATTATGCATGTATCTACTGATATATTTGAAACAATGACACTGTATGTGCCATTATCCGGGCATATGACTCATGACGACCTAAAACCCGCATGTTTGAATTGCCATCCTTTGATTTTTGGCCGAGTGTGGAAGGGGGTCATGTGTTGTTGTGATTTCTTGCTGGGGGGCTGCTCGGTTGTAGCATCCAAGATCATCCCTTTCACGGAAAAACAACTTACGCTTGGCACAACATGATTTAATAAAATATGCAACTATCCAGTATGCTGGGGTGTTCTTCCGGTAGTGTTGCTGAGATTTATCATTGTGGATGTTAAAAACCAACCCGATCAGCCCTGAGAACCAATTCGCAAGATGTCGGATCGCACGGGATGCAGTACCTTTTTCAGCAGTTCTTTTTGGAGGAAACGCTCATGAATTACTCATCCGATAAAAAAGGGACTTCTTTCTATATCTACACAGATACACAGTACCGTAATGATGCACCCTCTGGTAAACTAACATAGCTATTGAAAATGGCCATTTATAGTGGATTTACCCGTTAAAAATTGTGATTTTCCATAGTTATGGGACAGTTTACCAGAGGGTATTTCTACCAACATCACAACGACTTGTCCAACGAGTTTGAACTGGTGAGACTTCCCCACCTGTAGAGTATGGTCCTTGCAGCAGTGGCAAGAGTCAGCAACCTGAGCTCTAGGAGAATATCATGGGAATATCATGGAGATATCATGGCAACCGTATTGGTCATGATTTGCTTTAAGGGAACATCCACAGGAAATGGGGCACCTTATTCCCCAATAAAATTTTGGTGGTTTCCCGCGAATTTTCCAGGAATCTCCAGATTTCCTTCTTGGAGGTTGAAAAGAAATCGGGAACATTGGGGCACCAGGGACCCACCATGACCCACCAATATGTGGTTAGAGGATAATCATCCCTATTTATATCCCAATCCTCAATATATCCGACAATGTCATGAAGTGTGAAATTTTATATCCCGTTATATCTCCACCCAATACACCCAATATTGTTGGTGAAATATATATATATATATTCCAGTATATCCACTTATGTCGCGTACACATCAAAACATGTGGTTGCTCAGAAATCCGTTATACACAATAGTGTAGAATAATCATCCCAGTTGGTAAGTATATCCTATTGATTTGTTGCTTTCCGAGCAACTTCTCCTCCTCCAAGGTCTTCAAAGGACCTACCAAGGGCCAATTTGCTTGCGAGTTGTGCGATTCTTACGCGGGGGTTTGATGCGACTTTTTTTCTGGAAATAACAATGGGAAACACATGTTGTGTTGTTTTAAGATGGCAAACAAATATTGTGTAGGCTTCAAGAAACACAAATTGGTAAAGTCAATTCGAAAAAAAAAACGTGATTTCACACAAAAAAAGGTACAAACCGAAATTGAAGAACTGATTGGCACTGGGCGAAGAAACATGAAGATAAACCACAGACCAAAATTGGAAAAATACACAATAAACAACGACATTTTATATTCTATAATATATTGCAAACTAGTAAATATACACATACATACTATTTATATATATATATATGATATTATATAATGATCAGATAAATATGTATATTGAAATCTATGGAAGAACACACTGCCTATCTTGGTAAAAATATAGCCACCTGCAAACACACCCAAGAAAAATACTGATTGCATCCCCACTTACAGGATCCAACAAAATATCCTGAACATATGCTGGTCCACCTGGGTCCATTGGCTAAATCTCAATCTGTCAATGTCTGTTGCTTAAAATCTCAATTTTCGCTGGTCCAATCACAATTTCCCAAATTTCCGTCGGTTAGAAACTAAACATGTGGATGACCAAGATTAACATGTTCCCAATTTCCTGTTAGTTCGATGCGCAAAATCGCAGGTTGGGTGGTGAGATCCTCAATTTCCTGATTTATCTTTTTGAAAATCCCACTTTCCAGTGGAATTCCATCCAAAAAATCATGGCGGATGGGCACTGCCTCCCAGAGCGTTCAGCAACATCTGCTGACGCTCACTGCGACGTCGTTTCAGCTCCTTTTTGATGGCACGCCTAACTGGGAAGAGGAGGCCCGGAAGCTCGGAAGAAATCTAAATTCTAGAGGATCAAAAACATGGCAATTGAAAATCCCCTAAGATTGAAAATCAAATATAAAATGGCATATCCATGTCAAAACTGTACATGTCAACATGGTTGTTTTCATGAAACAAATGCCATTGAAATGGCCTGCTCCCGTGTGAAAGTTCTACATGTCAACAAGGTTGTTTGAACGAAAACAATGCCATTAACATGTCATGTTCCCATGTCAAAATGTTACATGTCAATAAAGCTGTTTTCATGAAAACCTGCCATTAACATGGCCTGTGTCCATGTCAAAACTTTACATGTCAACAAGGCTGTTTTCATGAAGACATGCCATTATATAACATATCATGTTCCCTGTCAAAATTTTACATGTAAACGATGTTGTTTTCATGAAAACATGCGGTTAAAATGGCCTGTTCCCCTGTCAAAAATTTGTATGTCAACAAGGTTGTTTTCATGAAAACATAACGTTAAAATGGCCTGCTCCCATGTCAAAATTTACCATGTCAACAAGGATGTGTTCATGAAAAGCATGCCATTAAAATGGCCTGTTCCCCCGTCAAAATGCTATATGTCAACAACGTTGTTTTCATGAAACATGCCATTAAAACACATGCCATTAAAATGGCCTGTTCCCCTGTCAAAATTTTATATGTCAACAGAAATGTGGAAGAACGTGCTCATTGTTGTTTCATGACGTGACTCATGGCGTGGTTAATTTGATGTTCGTTTTTGTGTCAAAACTGATCAAAACAGTTGATTGAAAATTGTTGACCGCAAATTGGCGTGAAAAAACACTGAAGATCCTGAAACGCAACTTTTTTCGAACGTCAGAGCGACGTAGTCAGAATCCTGAGCAGCGGTTTGTTTTGCAATTTCTACAGGCAATTTGGTGCTTTCCCAGCAGGAACCTCAGTTGCAGAGACTCTAGTTCACCTTATGAGTTTAAGGTTAGTCCAAGTAGTCACTGTATATAGACCATACAATTTCACATACACAAATATACTACATACGTATGCACGAATGTATATATATATATCCTATATATAAATATATACATAGAAACCACCACCATCTCGGGGGGAGGGGTGGACCACCAAACACTAGGCCATATATATATAATATGACTATATATATATATAACTATATAAATAACTATATATAACTATATATAACTTTTTATATAACTTTTTATATAACTATATATATAACTATATATATAACTATATATATAACTATATATATAACGATATATATATATAACTATATATATAACGATATATATAACTATATATATAACTATATATATAACTTTTTAAATATCTATATATATAACTATATATATATAAACATAACTATATATAAAACTATATATAAAACTATATATAAAACTATATATAAAACTATATAATTATATATACATAATTCTATATATATTACTAATTATAACTATATATATATAACTAATTACAACTATATATATATATAGAACTAATTATATATACGTAACGTAACTATATATATAATTATATTTGTTTATGTGCATAACTAAGTATATATAAAACATTATTGTTTAATGGGCACCCAACCGTTAAATAGCAGTGTTCCAGCAAACAAATGAGCAGCCATCTTCGAGGCCCCGGCCCCAAGAACTTGCTATTCATCACCTCACCAAGAATAATGGAGGTAATCATGGAGCTTAAACCAACAAAATATCATGGACATTTAATGGGCATGTAATGTGTATATATATATATATATCACATATATATATATATATAATGTTGTTGAATCGAGGCTAACCAAGAGTCATGGGGGGTATAACCAAAAATCATGAATCATGGATGAATAATATGGCACACCAATGGATAAATGATCATTGGAACAATGTGGCATCCGCAGGTCATCACTACTTTTATGGCTGGGATTCCAACCATCCACAGACGGTAGTTGTTTGTGGCAGCCAGGTTACCTCTGAAAAGAATCAGTCCAATTAAAGACCTATTCTATATTCACTATACGTGGGATTCCTGGGTCAACTAGGGTCTATGGTGCATACGGCAAACAAAATATATATGTGGGGTGTATCTATGTATAGTTTATGGTGAAATGGTGTGAATTAGTGAATTCACCAGCCAAAATGGGGATTTCATGGGGATGTTGATCGAACATTGGGATAAGTTAACTATCAAAATCCAGGACTCGGACTTGGACAATCAAAACTCTGATCGAACATGAATTAAAATGATTGAACTATGGATATCTATGGATCTCATGTCATTTTAATGTCATTTTAATGGTGATCTTCAACCAACTCAAGTCGTTGTGTTTGAACCAGGAGATAAGTTCCAGCCCTTTGACTTCCACAAACGTCTGGGCTTTCCGAAACGGGGATTGGGGGTATCAAGCAAACTATGGGGATATAATCATAATTATAATCCGACACTGATATATAATTATATGTGGTCTGATGGTTGGTGATGAACATCATTAAAATTGTATACCCAATTAGCTATATATTTAGCATTCTTATAGTACGTATACTATTGCTGATCCTTTGTTTATATGTGACCAACAATGATCTTTGCGTTTGCCACAACGGTTTTGTGGATGCACAAATCCCGCCTGGACGATATCATCTTTAAGCCCAAATGTTATTCAATATATGCTATGACAAATCTGTCCAGTTTTCTTGGTTCTATCCTCATTTTGGTGCTTGGAAACAAGGATGGAACTAGCATCCTCTGACTCCAGTGGACTAATACTTTTCAGCAAAATCATTATTCTCAAAAACGGTAAATCAATGTATATACAGTAAATCATGTATTTCTATGGTTCATTTTCCATAGCAAAGTGTCAATAATTACCCCTCCGGGTCACACCTTGGAATCCCTGGGCCGGCGCACAAGCAGCTGGCAGTTTTCACCAGCCACAGCACTCCACTTGTGACTAGTCCCAGCCTGGGGATGATTGGATTTTCAACCATGAACTGTCCCCAAGTGGTTGTTTATACCCCGATTTATGGGATTATGGTTTAAACAACCACTTGGGGATATGATGTATATGATATTATTATTATTATTTATTGTTGTATATGATAGACTTTGATGGTTAATGGTTGATGGTGCTGGTTTGTTATTGTGGATCCTACATTAGATCCCCTGGTGAAAAACGATGCAGAGAAAGCGCCATTGAAAGACGATGTTCGAGCTCGGTATGGATCTGTTTGTAGTGACATTATTGTAGTACAATTGTACATATACTAAATACAATTGAATTCTACACATAGGCTGTTTCTGAATGTTTACATGTATACCGTACCCATACACCTCTGGTAAAAAACTGCAGTTGCAGCTCCTGCCCGGCATGAATGTTCCTGGCCACCCCACCATGCATGCAGCAGCAGCCAAGATGGCTCCGCTGGAAGCTTTCTCCTGCGGATTCTACCAGCAACTATATATTATGATTTAAGCAGCATTTCATGGGGATAAAACCATTATGGTACGGGTCAAACTGTTGAACCAGTGGGTTCAATCCGAAAGCATGGAATTGGCATTCAAGCAACCACGTTTGGATCGTTTGGTCCCTAATGCCCCGCCAAGTGAATGGTTGTTGTACAACAAAAAATAGCGACACATTTTGCTTTTGAGGGGTCCGCAAGTTTGACACCGACGCGGGTGCAAGTGGGTATGGTTCAAGCATTGGATACGACACAAGAGCCAGAAATGGCTGGCCATATTCAAGTTGGGGGTCAATAATTCTAACCTACAGCCAGGTGAGATTTTAACATGCTTTGACACGTACAACTGAGATGATATACGGTGGCAACTGGGCTTAAAACTACAAAAGAACTGGAAACAAGCCATCCTGCGGTATTTTGGATATCGCATGACTCATGCCTATCTTTTATCAACACAAAAACACAACCTACTGATTAAGCATCAAACATCACATCACGTCTACGCTGGATATGAGCATCATGTATATTACCCCATCAAAATGTCACAAAGATCACATTGGCCTAACCTATCCTTCATCAAGCTTCAAAAGGGATTTCAGGCTTAGTTCTAAGTCCAGAACCGCATCTTATCTTAATAGTCTTTTGCGGGGATGATGCTTGAAATTAGGAAGTGGTTGCTATCTTGTTACATCTCAAAACAAACTGGCAGGGAAGTGTCATAGGATAGGGCCCCGCAGGTATATTCATCATGTTCTCCATCCACATCTATCCCCAAACAACCCAAACAATCAGCCAAACAGTCGCCTTCAGAAATGGACGATACTCCAACCATTGGTTTCCCATCCTAACACAAACCTTGAAATGGTGGACTTCCGCCTCCACTTCTTCAAATTACCATTTTTCACTGATAAACATGTTTGCTGATGAAATATCATCTGTGTAAAACCCGAAACCATTCCCTTGAGAAAATTGTTTGAACAGCACCCTCCAGAGTCTGTCCCCTGGTTGACCCTGGCCTCAGAAACGACCACTTTCTGTCGCTGCGTCGGCAGCGTCACGCTGGGTTCCTGTTGCGGAGATGGCGTCCTGAAATTTGCCAAACATATGGGGAAATCCTTGGGCCATACACTCCGCAACAGCCTCGCCGATTACATCATAATATTATAATAATTATTAATAATATTATGATCTAATACTATAATAGTATGATGATACCTTGGTGATAATATATAATACATTGGTATGATAGTATAATAGTATATTATATATCACAATATATATTATACTATCATACCAACACTCTTTTCCCAGGGGCATCTTGGAGTTCATTGAGATGTGGGACTCGGAGTCCAACTTAGATGCATTTAGGGGCCAAGCATCGTAGAAACTCGCAAATGTTCGAGATGTTTGGTGCACCTCACACCGCCTATGTTGACTCAACCATTAGCTTTGAATCTTTAGAATGACAGGAGCTGCTGCTTTCTGGCTATGTCGATATGAGTCTATAGTCTGGTCTTTAAATACATACGCCTTTTTTTAATGGAAGATCTACCCAAAGGTTTGACTTCTACCAACATTGATTCGATCAAACATAAGTCCACTCTTTCAAAAGGTACAGTACCAGAATCCAGAAGAAACAAACAACATCAAACAACTGTAGCCCCTCAAATCTCCCATTGTGATGTGGCAGTACTCGCACTCCGTGCTCGGAGGGTGCACTGATCCCTTCGAAGAGCGCTTCGAGCAGGTTTTTTCAATGCGTAAAGCATCCACCAGAGCAGGGGGCTGCACATCCATAAATGCTGGGCTGGGGAATATCAAACAGATCAAAGCAATCATTTCCGTTGGTTGCGTTCTGATCCCGGATGTTATTCCCAAGAAAGGTAGCAAAGCATAGCAAAGCCAAAATCCTCCTACAACTTCGTGACGAAGCTAAACTTTTAACGTTTGGATTTGGGTTTCGATAGTTGTTATCCCATCCCAAGATTCGCGACGGCAGAATGAATAGATCCAGTATGGGTGTCCCAAGGCCCCGCGCTGGCGGCACAGCGGGAAGGTCAACCTGGTCATGGCAGATGTTTTTTTTGCAGTGTCTAAGCAGGTTGAAGTATCTCCAATATATGGATATACTATATATATATATATATACACACACAGTGTGTATGTATATATATATATATACATGTATACATACATGAACATCCTTGCCATGGTCAACATATGGTTTGCGGTCATTCATCCCATATTGGGAATCTGTAGCGGGCAGCGCAGGGGTTAAACAGCTGGGCTCACACCCAATCCACCAACCAATATTCAAACAAGAGGCAATAGACGAAGGAAATGATGTAGGATGGATGAAGGCACAAAGCGCACAGCGCGCTGGGATTTTTCCAAGACCACCAAGGTCTAAGCTGCAGCCTGCATGGCACATGTGGCGCCTAAACAAGGGGCCCCTGAGCCGCCATGTCGCGTGGTGCGACGAAGTCACTTCATGACCTGACAGGTGGCGTTGAATGGATTTTCAACTGCAGCACCAGTACAAAAACCCTTCAGGTCATGATCTACTGCTGTACAATTTTCACAAGAGCTCAGGGTGCCAAAACAAGGTGTTCGAATTTGACCTGTTTGAGAGCCAGCAGTGATTTCATGAACATGAAGTGATCCAGCATTGATTGCGAGATCCTGCTGAAGGTCGTGTAGCTGAAGCTCACGAGCAATGATTGCAAACGCATGTTCAGAAAAATCTTCAAAAGCACCATGTGATGACAAGGGCGGCGAAAAATCACCCAAAGCATCATCTACTTTCTGAATCGCAGTTTTGCCAACTTTCTTGTTGCGTTTCGCAGCAGTGAAGTTTGGATCATATGCTATGCTCCAGCAACGGCTTCGCAGATACTTCAAAAGTCCAATTCTGCTATCGCCACGCTTTTTGGTGAAGGCGTCGGCGAGATCATAGTCAGAAGCCAGCCATCGAAGTTCACATCCAACTCTCTTCAAATTGTCTCTGAGCTGGAACGCTTGCAATGCCGCTCTCATATTGGAGAGGCCAAGAAGCGGTGATTCATTCACCTCCACGGCATCGTAGCCACCTCGGGAATCTGTGCAAAGGATTCCGGTGACAAGGCAAGCTTGATCTTCAGCTGAAGCTACCAGATCGGCACGTCGGTCAGGTCGTTGGAAACCAGCTCCATGTAGCTCGCTCCATAGCATGCGAACTCGAAAGTTCTGGTCCTCGGCCTCGAGGATTGACTGCACCTCGGCATCGTTGCTGCCAATGGCTTTTCTCTTCAGCTTCCACGTACGCCATGAAATCAAAGTCATTGGAGTGACCTTGCCTGAAATGGCATCTGGTCCAGCAGCTAAGGTTAAAAGTCCACCAGTTGAGTCGCCTTGAGGTCTGTTGGAGTGAGACTGATCACCCATTGAAATGAAAACCACGTCATTCCAATTGGTCGCCTTAGGGAGCTTGAAAAATTCCAAACTGAAAGGCTCTGAGCGCACTTCGGCAATCATCTGCTGTATCTCCCGCGCTGTCTCCAAAGTACCGTTGGTGACAACCTCGGTCAAAAGCAAATTGCATCTCGCACACAACTGTGGCTGTGTCTGGATGGCCAGCCATTGGAGTGCTCCAAGAGCTGTGCGACAAGCTGCAGTCTCTTGCTTCTGAAGAGGGCCATTTTGGTGAAGGCGTTCAGGAGGTATGGCAACATCTGCCACTGACTCGACATAGGCATCTTGGTCAATCACCAGCTTGAACTTGTTGGAGGCCTTGTCGAACACTGTCTTAAGGTCAGTGCCAGCATGGCGGTAGTTGCCACGTTTTGCTGTGCCCCATTTGTAGGCTGAAAGGATCTGGTTGTAGATCTTCTGCCACTCCTCAGACTGAAAGTTGCCGCAACAGTGGAAATCATCCACATGGCCACCCATCACACCAAGTAGGCGAGGAAAACGGCCGGTGGCATCAAGCTCAGTCTTGGAAAACCAGGCCCATAAACATCTTTCGCCCAAAATAGGCGTAGCGCCCAAAGAAACCAAAGTTTTGTGGAGATCCAACCAAAGTCCCCTGGGGGCTGTTGTTGACCCATAGATGTTGCGCAACACCCTCATCAATCCACCTTCGGAGATGCCCAAAGCAGCTCGAAGTTCAGCAACACCAGTAGTCCAAATCTCAGCATCTGCCTCAGTGGGTTGCGTCTGCAAAAATGCTGTCGCAAGATCCAGGCCATGAATCTCCCACTGCTCTTGCACGGAGAGGAGGTAGATGAGGTTGCGACCAATCATAGATTGGACTGGTGCTGAAGTCTTGAAGGATCTGTCTAAAAGACTGGGGTGTTGGAAACCAAGAAGCACAATTCGTGCCTTTGCTTTGCGGCTGCCATCTTTTGTGAGGACTGTTGAAGGATCATGTTGGGCCTCATGTTGAGCTTCTTCAAGTTCATCAGGGGGTGTACTTTTCCATGTCAAAACCCATCGCGCCTTGATGATTCTGTTGGAATCATAGGCACGTCGAACTTCACCATCATTGAGGCATTTGCGAACAGCTTCATTCTTGAGGAATGACGTCACCTCCTTGGTCTTGGCACGCTCGAACAGCGACTTCTCGTAGTCAGTGAGGCGGTGGATGTTCACTTCAGCTCCATTGAGCTTTTTGGTGAGAAACAAAACAGGATGCCTTTCCAAGGCTTTTCGCTGTCGAGTGGTGTTGAGCTCGAGGTCAAAGCAAATCTCGATGACGTCATCATCACATTGTTGAAGAGCTGAAAAGATGTTCATCTCATTGGCCTCAATGTTGGCATCGGCTTGAAGTTGCTCAACCCATTTCAAGTCATAGGTTGTGGCTTTGAGACGTTTGGCTTCCGTCTCATCTGGATGAGGTACAGGAGGAGCATCTCGAGCACCATCATCAAAACCATAGTCGTTCACCGCATCATCCTCATCCAAGTCAATTGCAGCACCTGGTCGCGGAGCTGAGGCAGCAGGCCTCGATGACGAAGAAGGGCCAGAATTCTGAGGTGGAGGAGAGCTCGGAGCCAAAAATCCAGGGGCTCGGTCAAGTCCAGGACCATAAGTCGAAGAGCTCTGCCCACGAAGTCCAAGGGGCGTAGATCGATGGATCTGCCTCCAATCCTCAGGTGGCACAGATTTCTTGCCATAAACTCGTTGACCAGGAACAACTGTTGTTCCATCAGGTAGAGGTGGTAGGAGAGGTTCTTCAAGTTGATCACGTGTTGGGATCTCATCAGAGATATCGGTGAACTCTCTCTCAGGGATGATGTCGGTCAAAGTCTTCCACTTGGTGACATCCTCGCGCTTGTTGAGCTCGTAGTGCAACTTCTCTGTCGGTGTGACCGGTCTGACAGAGTGAGCTGAGCAACGTAGAAGTTTGCCGCCAATCAAAACCCAAACGATGTGACGACGCTCATCGTCCAAATCTTGATGAGGAAGAAGTTCTGTGAAGATGACTCGGCCAGGTCCGACCCATCCAGGTCGAGAGGCCTTTTTGAATCCACCTCGAGGTCCAGTATGAACTTCTTGAGGAAGAACACGACGCCAAATCTTCACAAGAGCGCCAACATCATAGTTGCGCAAGGGCTGCCGTGCCTTGCTGTTTGCAAGACGACCCAAAACTCGATTTGCACGGGTCTTGGTGGCAACTTCTTCAGCACGTTGTCGAGCCAGCACAAGGTGAGAAAAAGTGGCTCGGTCACCAAGTTGCGCCAAATTGCGCCTGTCCTCATCTGATATCATGTAGTCTCTGCCAAATGCCCATTGATGGCTTGAGAAGCCAGAGACATACTCAGTGGAGTTGAGAGCTGAGGTTGCCAGGATCAGGGATATGTGAGGATCTTGTTCAGGTGCATCTGTCTGAATTGCACTGGCCGTGAACTTCAAGTCCTTGATGGCATGCTCAACCAAACCATGCGCCCAGGCTTCTTTTTCAGCCGGGAAGCTCAATTCCATTCCAGCTTCACGGCAAAACTCGCCAAAACGCACTGAGGTAAAGGACTTGGCATTGTCGGCAACGACAATGTGAGGCTTTGGATAAACAGCCAGCCAACTTCTAGAGAGACCCTCAATGACCTGCTCGGCATTCTCAGTCTTCATGACCGTGATGTCATAGGAGTCAAACAAAGGACAAACTGCACGCAGTCGTGTGCACATGTCGATGATGAGGAGGAACTTCTGCTTGGTGGACCGCATGGGAACATACCATTCAGCCACATCAAGTCCAACAGCTTCCCAAGGTCCAAACTGTGCGTGAGTGGCAGCAGGAGGAATGTTGCCACTTGACATGCCACCTGGTCGAAGTCCATCGCAGGTGGGGCATTTAAAGTCCAATGCCATTTTCACCTTCCAAGGTTCCATCTTGGCATCACGCACAATCCTGGCAAGGTTTCGGCCAGAACAGTGACCAGCAGCTTTGTGAAACTGCAGAAGTTTCACCTTCCATTGTTCCTTCTCAGCATCAGTTGGTGAAGGTGTAGAAGAGCTCGGTTGTGGTGGTTCAGCAGCATCGTCGTCAAGGTCAATGACAACATCAGCAGGACATAGATCTCCATCGGGGAAGTCAATCTCAGCAACGTCGTTATAGTCCATGCGCCGAAGTTGCTGATTGGAGACCTCTTGCTTGGCCCAAAAACGGGCTATCGACTGAACCATTTGCCATGGGTAGTATGCCGATTTGGCAGTTTCTTGACCTTCTATTCGTCCATGACAGTGAGAGCCAACACACACCTTTGCACGAAACTGACTGTGAAAAAGTTCATCAGTTGTTTTGATCTTCCACTTCTTTTTGAGAAAATCACCATGTGCATCGCGCATATGATAGCGACAGCCATCAATGCGACAGTCCAGCCATTCATGACCATGTTGTTGAAGAAGGCGTTCAATCGCCAGCATAGGTTCTTGGTTCCATCCAAAACAAGGATGAGGCCATTCCCAAAACACTGTGATCTCGGGGTCATCCTCAATCGCTCTTTTGATGAAACCATATGCACGCCAAAGAAGCTTTCGGTCTTTTCTGCGATATGACTCAAGCAACTCCTTCTGCTCAGGTGTGGA